TAATTACTTTTCCCCGACCTAGTCAAGAGAACTCATAATCAACCAAAAGCCGTTTATTAAAATTACTGGGATCCCCTTAAATAGAAATTAAGGGTTTCCTAAAAACAATTAGGAAACTTCCTAAAAACAATTAGGAAACTAGTTGCTAATTCCGACATAACTCTAATAATGAAATAGGAATTAAAGAAGGACTAATTAAAATAATCCTAATACTAATATGACTCTCCTGACTTGCTTAATCTTTCCCTTAGCCACTTGGATTAATCATCTCTGCTCCACTTTGTCCCCTGCGTGCATATGTGCGACCAAAGAATTGATCGCTAACAGATTCCCTCTGATTTCTTTCCATCTCTGTCATTCGTCCTTCCATTTTTTTTCTCGTTCCAACGATTCACAGAATCGGCTGAGCTCTGATACCAATGATAGAAACCTTCAACCACAGTACACTATCAAACAACAATCACAGAATACAAGCAATACAGATTGAATCAAATAAGCAAGAATTCTAGCTCAGTAAAAGAAATCTTATTCAACAAGTCAATTGAAAACAGTCCCAAAGAAGGAGATAGAACTCCAACTCCCAGTCCCAGACCAAAAACGTCTATACAGCCTGCTTTTCCTTCTGTAGGAATTATTCTATTTATATCCTTTCTTAAACAGAAGGTAGTTACTAGTAACAACACGGCTAACTAATAACTAACTAGTCTTCCTTTTAAGTCTTCTAGAATATACTTGATTAAAGAACTTATTTTTAGTAAGTAGATCAGCCGGGTCCCTATTAGCATCTCAATGCAACTAAGGTTTCTTTAGTTTTTAGTATTTTACTAAAGATATAGTATCGCCCGAGTTATATATATTCCCTCTAATGGCTCTAAATAATCTTGACTAATGATATCTTTGCACGTTTTTTATGCATCCAACTCCCGATCCAAGATTTTATTTTAGCTTACTCCACATATGATCTTATTTTCTTTTAATTTTATGTGAATATTAATTATGTGAATTTTAATTTTCTTTTCTTCAACTTTTTATTCTGTTTATATTTATGCATATATATATATATACACACACATATATTTTTATGCCTCAGACATACACGTCATTGCGCAATGTGGCTTATGCAATATGCAATCCTAAAAAACGCCACGACTACGCAATACGCAATTTCAAACCTTGCCCTTACGGCCTTACCCCACCGTAGGTGGGAGCCTTTGCGGCACTAGGGTAATGATGATGATGAGTGTGTTACTAAACTTACTATTGCTCTAAGTCTATTTAACTTTATCATCTCATGTATTATCCCTATTACTGCTACTTGTAAAGCAGCTTGCTAAGTGTTGAAATACATACAAGCATTTTTATACCTTCATGGTATTAGAGATTTTGAGTTTCCGACCTATGAGATTTTTTTCTTCATTTCTGGCCACCCTACTTCATCAATTTTCTGTGCAGTTTGTACACCACCTTTATTTATCTCATATAAAAATTCACTTTCTACTATATAAACCCCTCCCTCCGATTGTGAGCGCTCAGACGTCGAGCTTGATTCGTCGACAAATCTCCAAATCATTATAATCTTAATCCCTAATCATCAAGAGCCCAAGAAACATCTGGTCTCCCTCAATCTTGCTAATGTTATTAAACTCAACACCACCAACTTTATCTTCTGGATGGTACACACCATGTCCTCCCAAAACAATTTCTAAAAATGGGGCCATAAGTCCAAACACATCATACTTGTCATGGATCCGCCAAGACCAGATTCTTTTTGGCGCAATCATTGGAACACTAACTCTTTGGGTTGTTCCCCTAATCATTCGTGCTATGCATTCCAAAGAGGCCTGGGAGAATCTTGCATCGGTCTATGCTCAGCCTTTCTGAGGGAACATAAAACAGCCTAAGTACCAGATTAGAAGATTCGCTTAGGGATCCAAATCTATTAGTAATTATATGCATTTTCTAAAAAATGCATTTTCAATTTTTCATTGAAATTATCTTAAATGGCTTGGATCACAGGTGACATGTATATCCTTCATCGAGGTACACATAGTTGATAAATCGAGTGCTCAAAATTTCACAGTAACTCTGTGAATCATTGCCTCTTCCAGTAACTGTCAATTCGCTGCAAGGTCACCAGTACAAACTGTCATTTATCTGGTCGGGTGGACATGGACCCTCATACAACAATAGTGAGGAGCAAGGAAGTGTTAGCAATGGAAACACAACACGCCAATCAAACAGACCATACCTTTGTTTCTATCAAGCATGCTGGGCTCAAGGTTATACAACCTGCAATTGCCCTCTTCTCCTCACCTCTATCAACTCGTACAGACAACAAACTTGCATCCAATTCCTCTGGCTGGACAACACCATGTTCATCTCAGCCCTAGCAGTCATCCACGACTACTTGTGCCCAAGCTAATTTTGCCCAAAACTCCATTCTTAAGTCTTAACTCTTGGGCCGTCTCCGTTCTTAACAATGCCACCCATCATATTACATCTGATCTACATAATTTCTCACTGCATTCTTCATATCCTGGTGCTGAATGCTGATGAAGTATTGTAGCTAATGGTAGCAGTCTTCCTATGATCCTATCAGTCATGTGGTTTTCAGTTATCTCTCTTCCCTTTCTCATACTTTTTGTCTCAATAATTTATTATGTGTTCCCCATATCCAGCTTATATTTGTAATCCCAATGCTGTAAAATTAATGATGCATCCATTGAATTCTACCTTCTTCTCAAGGGTTGTACAAAAGAGGGGTTGTATGGATGGCCATTTTCCAGTAGCTCATCTCTCCTAGCATTCTCCATTATCAAAACTACTCCCAACTAGTGGCATTATCGGTTGGGGCACCTTGCTTCCAATATACTTCATCATGTCTTAAATACTCATAATTTGACAATAAACGGAGTCTTCTTTCCTATCTCTTATTGCGATTCCTCTCAGTATAATATAAAGCCATAAACTACCATTTAATAAATATACCATAGTGTCATCACATTGCCTGAATGTTATTCTCTCTCACAACCTGTTAGATACTTATATCCATTGACAAGTTTAAATACTGTGTCATATTTGCAGACTACTTCGCTAAATATACATGGTCTGATCTAATAAAGGAAAAAATCCCAAGCCCTTGTAGTTTTAAAATTCTTTTCACCCCTTAGTTGAAAATAAAATTAAACTAAAAACATTTTTGTTACAATGGGGTGAATATCTAGTTTTAATCCCATAACTCACCTCTCTTGGGATTTCCAAGTTACATGCTCACCTCACACGCCTAAATGCAATGGCTTTGCATAACGTCGTGATGTTGTCATTGGTAGCTGGTTGAAACTGGTCTTACCCTCTTTCATCGTGCATTCTTACCCCTGAAGTACGGTCATATGCCTTGTCACTGCTACCTACTTACGAATGTCACCCAACCCCCACACTATACCTCAAGTCTCTTTATGTGTCTCTCTCACACCCAAACTAGCTATGATAAACATTGGGTCTTTGGAGTTGTTTGCTATCTATGGATCTGGCCGTAAACACTCCTAAACTCCAACAAAAATCTATTACATGCATCTTCTATGAACACTTCACTAAAATTGCCTGCAGCCTACATTTGCCTTGACTAACTCATGACCGAGTCCACATATCATGCCATGTCCAACTTGTTGAAGATGTGTTTCCTTTTAACTCTCGTCAACCCAACATACTCTCTCTGTTACTATAACCATTACCATATGGCTCCACCAACTGCTCATTGCAAGCCAACTGCTCACCCACAGCCAAATCACCCACTGAGCTTCACCATCTTCCAAGTAACCTATTGATAAGGATGATCTCATGTCTTATGCCCTTTCTCATGGTCCAGAGTCTGTATATGAAAGTTGTTATCCTCTTCCTCGTCATATTGTTACTCAGTCCATGAGTAATATCCGACATGCCATCCTAAAACTCAACCTACTGCTCATGTTCCCACATGTTTAATAGAACCTCTAAACAACTTGCTACCATAAAGGAAGCTCTAATATAATCCTCAATGGTGCCATGCAATGACTGAATTATTTAATGCCTTAGTACTCAATGCCACATGGACTTTGGTACCAAGATTGGGAACATGAATGTAAGTCGGTCTCCCAAATGAGAGGTATAAAGCACGCCTTGTTGCCATTGAGTTTCATCATCCCAAATGCTATCTCATTGTTAGGGATTGGGCCTAATGGACTGTTAGGAATTGGGCCTAATAAACCAAGAATAATAATAAGTGTAATAGTTAGTATAAATAGACTAAACTGGGGAGAAGTTGGGTAGGCTGTTTTAGACTTTGTCATTTGGGACTTGGGGAGATCGAGAGCTAATCTCTTACTTTTGGGGGGCTTCGGCTCATTGGGGGCTTCGGCCAGTTCTTGTTACGATTACTGTTCTTGTTCATCTTCTCTAATAAAGTTCACTTTGATTTCTTGATATCTTTCTGTAATCTAGACATCTCTATCACTCATGGAGCTCTCACAAAAAAAAGAACAGTTGCCCGCTCTTCTACGTCAGCTGAGTATCGATCAGTCACTCATTTGCCTTCACGCCCTCTGGAGTTAGATAGGCCTTATCCCTTCTTGGTGAATTGTACATTATCATTTCTGCTTAATCAGTTATATTCTGTGTCAATGTCGGAGCTACCCACTTATCACTTATGTGCCAACCCGGCCTTTCACTCTAGGATGATACACCTCGCCATTGACTATCACGATGCCGAAATACTGATACCAATTTATAATCCAAACGATTGTTGCTTTATTTTTTCGACAGTGAACTGTTTGTTTGGATTATATATTGGTATGATGGTATCAGAACTAACACATGAACGCTCCTAGAATCATGCGTCTTATATAGTAATATCATTTCTGACCTTCTTGGCTATTCTGTCATGTAGATGGATGTAAAACCTCCGTCACCCTTCTCTTACAAACTGGACCATTTCATGATTGACCGATTCTTTATATTTCCAACAGGGTGGGGCTTGTTTTCTCTGGTAGACAATCTCCAGGAGGGCATAATGTTGTATGGGGTTTGCATGATGCAATCAAAGTTCACAATTCTAAAAGTACATTGCTTGGATTTTTGGGTATGTTCTCTCTATTTAGTTTTAGGGAGTGGAGAATTTCGTATATATTTATGCCTATCGTTCTGGCTGTAGCTGTTTGCACATGATGTCTTCAGGTGGTTCTGAAGGTTTATTTGCACAGAAGACACTTGAGATCACTGATGACGTTTTGTCTACTTATAAAAATCAAGGTAAGCCGCATTACATAAAAGAATTGTTAAGTAACTATCACAGAGTATTTTTATGTAGACTTATGTACAGTGTCTGGATTTGATTGCATCAAGGTGGCTATGATATGCTGGGGAGAACACAAGATCAAATTAGAACAACTGAGCAAGTTTATGCTGCACTAACTGCTTGTACATCTTTGAAATTGGATGGCCTTGTTATTGTTGGAGGTATTAATGCTTTGAGCTTTTTCTCAAAGTTGTGTGAAGTTTTCACTGAACAAGGCTTTGATTTCTCTAATATATTGCCACTTTTTATAGGAGTAACATCAAACACAGATGCTGCATATCTAGCAGAGGCTTTTGCGGAAGCTAAATGCCCAACAAAAGTGTGTCTTGCTTCAGGCATTTCTTTTTATTAAAATGTACTTAGTATGTTAATATATAAACATTCATGTGCACACATGTATCATGGATGTTAATGAATATTATCTCATCAAAACCCCAAAGCTTTAATCTCATATTTACTGATCTTTGTTTATTCATTGGCAATTTTCTTTATATTCCCAAGTTTGTTTGTGACTGCATCTGCATTAATCATTCTCTCAGGTTGTTGGAGTTCCAGTCACATTGAATGGAGATCTAAAGAACCAGTTTGTAGAGACAAATGTTGGTTTTGATACAATATGCAAGGTACCGACCTCTATTTTTGTTGTGTCATGAGATAATATATGGAAAATTACTTCACAGGAACAGTGATACATACCCCACTGCACCTTAATCTCTTTTCATTGATGACTTGATATGTTTTATGGATATTTCTTAGTTAGTAGTAGCTCTGACCCAAAAAAAGTATTGTCTGTAATGTTCAAATTAGTATTACAAACTAGACTAATGTTCAAATTAGTATTACAAACAAGACTGAAGACTCATTTTGGGATAAAGGATGTGTATTCTATCCAAAGTCTTGTTTAATGGCATCTGTAGAAGTGTAGATGCATTGTGTACGGTAGCAATTAGTTTACTTGGTGTATACCTTTTGAATTTCTCCCCTTGTTTTGAAGGGTAACACATAGAAGTGATTTTTTGCTTCACTGCATTGTCTTCCTCTTAAGGGCAGGAAGAAAGCTGATTGATCTAATTTTTCACTTTGGTGCATTTCCCCAGGTTAATTCTCAGCTCATTAGCAATGTCTGCACCGATGCACTCTCAGCAGAGAAGGTTATGATTTCTTTTTGTTGTTGTTTCAAATTCTCTTACTAAGTTTTAAGTTTTAACATCATACCATGCATCAAATAAACTCTCCTATCACCTTTGCTTAGTAAATATTTCATATTCTTAGCCTGTATATGTACTTACTACTTATGCATGCCCTCCAGTTTATTGACATGTTTTTTCTCTTTTTGCAGTATTATTATTTCATCAGGCTGATGGGGCGAAAGGCATCACATGTTGCCTTAGAATGCACCCTTCAGTCACACCCAAATATGGTTTGTATTCCTCGTCTTTGTGAAGTAATCTGCTGCCTTTTGGGTAATTTATGATTTGCACCCAAACAACACTCAGGAAAACTTTCTTTCAGGTAATTCTTGCTGAGGAGGTAGCTGCATCAAAGCTTACTCTTTTTGACATCACACAACAAATTTGTGATGCTGTGCAGGCCAGGGCGCAACAAGGCATGCGCTGTTATTGAGTTCATCTCTCTCTATATATGACAGATTCCAAAAATTGACTGTAAATTCAGTGTATTACTGTAGAACGTCTGAGAATTATAGTGGCAGGAAACAAGGAAAACAGAAAAGTTACGGGACTGGTCCGAGAGGGTCCCCCTCTCCCAAGCAACTACTCAATTTCTGCCTACCCTCCTTATTTCCTCCCTCCCACTCTTATACTAATTCTATTCATAAGGGCCGGCCCAAGCCCATGACTTACATGGCCCGGAACCCTTATTTTTACACTACCACGAGTAAGTCCATTATTATTATAAGCCCCCTTCTGCCCAGGGTCCTATCATATCTCCCCCTTGGACAACCACCTTGTCCTCAAGGTGGAAGGTAGGAAACAGCTGTGACCATCATCTTCATCCTTGCGCCTTTTCCTTCTCAGTGCCTCATTGATTTCTGGACTAGGAGCTTCATTACTTGAACCTCCATCATCACTTCCTCAGTCCAGTATTTCTCTAAGATTTTTGCAGCCTTTTCATATATCTCATGGTTGTTGAAGATCTGGAGATTCACAATCTTGTCTAGTCCTTCATATTCGTCAACCATCCATGTAAATTGACCCCACCATTCAATCCCATTTCTTTGTCTGCCTAGCCTACCTCCAGAATATTCTCCCGCCCTTCAAGGCATATAGTAACAATTCTTGGGTCTTGATTTAACAAGAGATCATAAGGCAGCTTAATGCAGCCTTGACTTGCCATGCACCTAATTTGATCATGAGAGCCTCTGGAAGTGGCATTAGAGATAGCCCCTTCAGCCACTTTCCGGATGTCAACTTCTGCATTTTGAAGGTGGTGTACCAAAAGAAAAATGATAGATGCCTCAATAACTGCCTTTATTTGATCACTACTCCCATCAGTGATATTAAATATTGTCCAACAAGCTTCGGTCCTAACTTCTTCATCATTCTGGTGGATGAGTGGCTGAAGAACCGGCAATACAACTTTGACCCGGTCAAATGGTGTTGGTGGCTTGCCTCGCCAGAAACTTGACCAAGTCCATGTAGCATTTCTCAACAGTCAACATATAAAGCTTTGAGTGCTCATTTAACTGAACTCGCAATGGTAAGAGTGCACCATGACCAAGAACCCGATCACAAGCAACCTTTCCTAAAGCCCAGACAATTGGAGGGCTACCCTCAATTGGAAGCAGCTTTCTTAATGGTGTCGTTGCTTCAATTCGTGTAGATGGAGCCTCTGATTCAGAACTAGCAGATCCCCACCACAATGTATCAATGTTGGTTTTGGTAGCAGTTTGCTCAAGGATGTTTGCACGAGAAGATGAAAGATGTGCATAACTCTCATTCTGCTCTTGATTACCATTAGTTATCATCTTATTTGATTCATTATAGCAGCCATTTTCATTTTCTGCTGGCTGTAAAAAAAAGACTCACTTTTTTCCTTTTCATATGGCTTCTCTTCAATTCCAGCAGTTCTTCCAAGGTAAGAAACAATATCAACATCTATTTCCTGAACTGCATCATACTTTCCATTCATTGTAGATGAAACTCGATGCAAACTTTTACTCAAGTCCTGCCAACTAACTTCCTCCGATGTATCCTTTACACAAAGGATATATAGGTTGACTGCATTCTTTTTGCCCTTGTCTATAAGCTCTTTCTTCAGCCTGTAGCATGTGTGCAGGTTCCCTTGTCAGCTCCAAAAGGACAACATATTGAGCTGCTGACAAGTTTAGTCCTGACTCCTGAGCGACCAGCAAGTATTCCAATGTTGGCAATCTTAATCTCTTTTGAGTTGTGGAATGATTGAATAGAAGATTGCCTATCATAAGCAGGTGTATACCCATCAATATGAATTTAGCTTATTCTGTTCTCAGAAACAAATTGCTGCACTCCATCAAGAATCTTGGGATAGAATATGCTTTCTACCACAGCATCACAGCTCTCTAGTGCAGTCTCCCCATCCTCCAAATGTTTTTCAGATTTAGGACTACTGAGATATATTCCCCATTTGCCATCTCTTGTACTCAAGAGTAATATCATATAAGGGCTATTCACATCACTGAACTCTTGATTCTGTCTTCTCCCTTCACCCAATTTGACATTGCCATCAATTCTGCAGACTTCCAACTTCTTTTGACTAAAACAATACTCAAGTATGTCAAACATTTTAGTCCACCGAGAGAAATTCAGAACCATGCGTTCAAGCAGTTATCCAATATATTCCTCTACTTTCCTGTAGATCCTACTCCTAACCCCTTGTGATTATACATCCTGAAAGTCATGCCATCAAATCTGAAGCCATCAATTTTTTTTTTCAGCCCATCCAAAGTAAGGTTTGATGAATGACCGTGCCCAAGATCCCTTAAAACACCCAATCCAGGTTCATGAACTATATATCAATCAAAGATTTAAATGCTTCTTGGTTTCGGTCTAGTGCACTAGCATACCTCCGGACGTCAGAAATTTTGAATCTCCTGTCATATGTAGCCTTGCTTCTGGGATACAATCCAGTTAAACACCCAGTTTTAAAATTGTTCTCAGGTACCAAGTGATAAGAACAATTTGATAGATGCCGGTCAATCTCCCATCCTGGGCGGATATGACTTCTGTTAATGGACACCTCTTGCTCATTTGATGTAGCCTGCGAACTGATGGTTTCTCCTCTGCATAGCGTATTAGCGTCGTACTAGACTACTAGGGGTTGCATACTGATGCTGCTGCTTAGGGTTCGATTCTCCTCTGGATCTCGTTTGGCTCGCATAGAGATCTCGCTGCAAGTTGGAGTTTCCTTCCGATCACGTCGTGCTTTGTTGCGGATTGACAGAGGATGAGGAAGCCTGCAAACTGACAGCTTCTGCTCGCGACGAAGCCAGAGGACTGGAGGGAGTTGCTTGCAACTGAAAACAAACTTGTGAAATCAAAACAACTGATAGTGACAAAGTCTGCGAACCCGTCGAACTCTCTGAACTGTGAGCAGCTGTTCGCGACACCGTCTGCGAGCTGGGAACATTTGCTCGCGGCGAAGTTCGTGACGATGATGGGACCTGGTTTTCAGACTTCCAACGGCGTCTAGGATTCCTCGATCGGCCCCTAGGTTGCCAATCAGTGCTCGGAAATTGCTCTCCAAATTCTCCAGCCGGCGACTTTACTGGACCATGACATTCCGCATATCGTCAATCAGTGATCGCAAATTGCTCTCCAAATTCTCCAGTCGGCTCTCCATGCCTGAACTGACCAAAATCGGTGCTCTGATACCAATGATAGAGTCTCCAAAAATTGACTGTAAATTGGTGTAAGAACGTCTGAAAATTACAAGGACTGGTTCGAGAGCGTCCCCCTCTCCCAAGCAACAACCCGATTTCTGCCTACCCTCCATCTTTCCTCCCACTCATATACTAACTCTATTCTCAAGGGCTGGCCCAAACCCTTATTTTTACACTACCACAATTATTTAAAATAAGTCTATTATTATTATTATTATTATTATTATTATTATAAACCCCCTTCTGCGCAGGGTCCTATCAATATATTAGTCCTTTTTAGTTATAAGAACTGTCTGACTTTGATTTTGGGTCCAGATAAATACCATGGTGTAATCCTATTGCCTGAGGGTCTCATTGAAAGTATTCCTGAAGTATATGCTCTACTAAAGGTGCCATATAAAAATGAAGCTAATTGTTTTGTTATTGCATTTTTCTTCTCTAAAGCATTAAAGTTTAAATAACTTCCTTTTTTATTCATTTGTTCTTCGTCCAGGAAATTCATGGTTTGCTCAGACAAGGTATTTCTGCTGATAACATTTCCTCCCAATTGTCACCGTGGGCATATGCACTTTTTGAATTTCTGCCTCCCTTCATAAGAAAGCAGGTAAATCTAATTGGGTCTCCACAGACCTAGCTTCATCAATTATGTTGGAATTTTTCGTGGTGCTAATCTGGTAGCATTGCAATGTTACAGCTCCTCCTGTATCCGGAATCAGATGACTCAGCTCAGCTATCTCAGGTAACTGATAATCTGCTTTAATGGTTGCTCTGTTTGATGGATTTGTCTCATTTAATGATGATTTGCTTTTCATTTCTCAGATTGAGACAGAGAAGCTTTTAGCTTTTCGTGTAGAAGAAGAAATGAACAAACGAACAGTAAGAAAGTTGTGCATTTGGCTTCAATATGTGGCACATTCCGCCTTTGACTGGATGTTTTTTTATTGCTCTAATGTTCTTTTGGCTATGTATGTTTGCCATGGAAAATAGTTCTTTTATGCTTGGGTTTAATTTGGTAAACATGAAAGATAATCAATTCTAATTAAACCTTTTTAAAGTTTGCATATATCTATATTTATTTGACTTTATATCGTAGAAATGTAGAGTTAAAATGTGTTTGAACAAATATCTAAAATTGATCAAACAAGTTTGATCCCTTCTTTTATTTTTCCCCATATTTTTTTGGACACTTCGTCCGTCCCATTTAAATGTTCTCATTACTTTTGGCCCATCTCAAAGTTACCCTCCTGTTTACTATAATGAAAGAATTGTGTGGTTGGAATTGACTCTTTCCTAAGTAAATTTATAAATCTAACCAGGCACAATTCATTTTCTTAGTCTGTACTCTCTTTGGATATTCAAGATTGGACAATGCTTTGCTATGATTGTTGAATTTATGCGTATTCATGTTAATTGTCTGCCTTCTTCAGAAAGAAGGAAAGTATACGGGGAAGAAATTCAATGCTATTTGCCATTTTTTTGGTTATCAAGCTCGCGGATCCCTGCCATCGAAGTTTGATTGTGACTATGCTTATGTGAGTTTTTTTTGCGGATAGTACTGGTCAAATGCTCTGTCTTTGAAAATATTTGGACATTTAACATCTATAAACATTGTACTTTCAAGGTTCTTGGCCATGTCTGCTACCATATTTTGGCTGCTGGCTTGAATGGTTATTTAGCAACTTTAACTAACTTGAAGAATCCTGTGAACAAGTGGCGCTGTGGTGCTGCTCCGATAACTGTAAGCTCTATGTGACATTGTCTTGGATGATGTCAACTTCTTCACTGTGATTCTTTTCCAGTCAGTTTATACTTGATATACATTCATTATATACGGTTTTCATGTAAGACCATATTGTGAGCCTGCAGGCTATGATGACGGTTAGGCGTTATGGTCATGGTCCTGCTGCTTCATCCTTTGGAAGGCCTGCTCTTCATCCTGCTACTGTTGATTTAAGAGGAAAAACATATGAGTATGTCAATCTCCTCTTTTATTTTAGCCCCTCTTTTAGGTCTTTTAGCCCCTCTTTGGTTGGAGTTGGGGAGGGGAGACATGAGAAAGTGGGGTGATATGTGTTTGGCTGGGGAAGTTAGGGGTGCCGAGGAGGGGAGGAGCAATGAGAATCTTTGGTACTCTTCATATCACCCATCCCCGTCCTCTTAGGACATTTTGGAGGATTAATATTTTCTTAATTTGTTTTACACATTTCTTAAGTTGTTTTAGATTATGATTGTTTAATGTATATATGTTTTAATCACGAAAAAAAGTACAACAACTATTTCAAAATAGTTCCCATGCTCCCATGTGCTTTGGGCACGCTTATAAAGAAACCTAAATTGATTATTTGAGATTTATTTAGAAATAAGAGAAGCAGGGTATGAACCACATATTTCATAAAAAGGTAATTATAAGATGGGCAAACAAGGTAGTTTGGAGAGAGGGTTATAATGCTCGAGTGTTTTTCTAACAATAATTCCCACAAGCTCCTCCATTGATTCATTGCCATATAAATAGAATCAGTATTGAGCTGTGGTTGCTCAATTGAGTCGTAAGACAGACGAATCTGATCACATTGAATTCAATCAGTTTATTAGTCTAACACAATATTTTACGAAGTAATATGAAAAAGGAAATCGGAAATAAATGGAGTATAAAGGTTTTTTTTTTTATAAAATACTAATTCCAACAACTCCTCCATGGCTCCATTGAACCTACCATATTTTGTGAACTCCATTTTGCTTCTTTTCCTTTCCCATTTTTCTCACCCTCCACAACATTGGGTGTTGGCAAAAATTAGGATTTGAATAAGTAACTTAATGTTTTTTGCAATCAACAAATTTAAAATTGGGTTGTGGCTGTTTTATTGAATCACAATGCATATGTATATTTCAAATCACATTAAAAGATTGAATCAAATATTCAATCAATCTATTAGTCTGACACAATATTTTACTGATCATACTAATGATGTTTCAAAAAGGCCTGACAGCTTTTTCTAACTAGGCTACCCCAATCCGTTTTGCTACTTTTCCTTTGGGCAAATTTTAGGATTTTAGGATAAGACAAATTTTGTCGTAAAAATCTTTGGCGTTTTGAGTTTATCACACGAGCACAGCTTTGTACAGAATTCCAAATCAAATATTTTGTATTTTCTTAACCTACTTGCTAGCCAAAGATGTCAAAACTTTGAGCCAAAGGTATCAAATTTACCTTTACTATTTTGATGTGGTACTTCTTTGTTAAGATCCAAGTTTCCATCCTAAAAAGTTAATCTGAAAGGAGTAACCCATGATCTTACATAATGTTTTATTATCTCATACCATTCCGGTGTAGATTCTGATGTAGGACATTTACTTTAACATGCCCCTCGGCTCAAAGATTCTGATCTCATAACATTTACGTTAACTAAATAGGAGGAATGGTTCAAGATCTTATATATTGTTTTATTTCATACCATTCCCATGTGAGACATTTATTTTAACATTCTTAACAATATGGGGCTTGACTTGGTTGCAGGCTGTTGAGACAGAGTGCCACGACGTTCTTGTTAGATGATGTGTACAGGAATCCAGGACCTCTTCAGTTTGATGGCCCAGGTGCTGATGCAAAGGCTTTAACTCTTTGTGTTGAGGATCAGGATTACATGGGCCGTATCAAAGAGTTGCAGGAATATCTTGATAAGGTACTCAAATTTCCTTGCCATATCAGCATATAAATCACAACATGCAATGATGTAGAGCTATGTAGCACCGATATGGGAATGCGGAAACGAGTATGGGGATACAACAAAACAAAACAAGTAGGATACTGTTACAGGGTTATATTTATAAATATTAAAAGTTATGGGGTGTATTTATAAATATTAGTACAACATGTTCTAAAAATATATACATACATACATATATATATATATATATATATATATATATATATTCCATGCTCATTCATGATAGTGTGGAATATATATACATATATTCCACACTATTAATACAATTAGAAACAAATTCATACTTTATCTCATATACACTAGTGCATCTCGAAATATAAATATATTAAAAAAAACACTAATTTGAAATGGGGAAACAAGTCAAACAACCACAATTTTGAAATTAAAAATGCATGTAATCAAAGTTCTTGGATAAAAGGTTCTCAATAAAGACAGAGAACAATACACTAATAAAAACTTAATGTTATAATAAGTACTTCCTCCGTTCTTAAATAAATGCAACGGTCAACATTTCACATTTGCCGAGACACAACTTTGACCATTAATATATATAATTCCCGATTAGTAAAAAAAGTTTAAAAAATAGATTTTGAAAATTTATAATGAGAAAATTTTAATAATATATTTTTAAAAAATATATATTATTACATTAATAAATAAAACGTAGTCAAAGTAGAACATGTGAATAGTGCAAAAAGTCCAACGTTGCATTTAAAAGAGAACGGAGGTAGTATTTCTTAAGACTTTTATTATTTAACTTTTGGGTGCTTTCTTTATAAAAAAGTTGATACATGTATCCGTCCATATACATGTACGTGTATACGTGTATCTGGACTTTTAAAATAAGGCTAAAGGGTCAAATAGGCCCTTGTACCGGTCGTGTAAGTCCAATTCAATCCCTGAACTAAAAAAAGGTTCAATTTTGACACTTTAATAGTTTAGGGGTGCGAATTGGACCTTTTTTACTGGTTGTTTAAGTGTTTAACCTTAAAAATGAAATTTGAACCCTTTTTGACCGGTTCGGGTGTGAGTTGAACCTTTTTTTAGTTCAGGGACTGAATTGAGCTTACGGGACCGGTACATGGACCTATTTGACCCTTTAGCCTTAAAATAATTACCAAAAAAGTTGAAAACTTTTAACAAATTGTAGATATGGCTCGGGAACGTACGGTACAAGTATCCTAGAGTATCCTAGAGTATCTGATACGGAAAAGTTTCTAATACGTCGATACAGTACCTTTGTCAAGTATCCGTGCTTCATAGATGCTGAGTTTAGGGCCACAAAGAGGTCATGCTATTAATTTGATTTTTGAATTTAAAGACTAGAGCGGACTTTTGTAAGGGAAAATGTCAATGACCTGTACTGGTTTGGCGCTGAGTAGTGGCTAGAATATAGTTAGAATCTGCTGTTTTTAACATACCGACTACATTATTCTCATCAACAATGCATTTTAATAGGAAAACCATTTGTCATGCGAAAATGTTACTACCTCTGTCGCATTTTATGTGTCTCATTTAGGTTTGACACAATTATTAATAAAGTTGTTGAAAAGATAAAAGTTGTGGTTGACATTTGAGTATAACATAGTGAAATGTTGTGGATCACATATTTCTTTCCAAAAAAAGAAATGTGACACTTATTTTGGGACAACCCAAAAATGAAAGTAAGACAGGTAAATTGGACAGAGAATAACATATAGAAATAATAAATTAAAATCATTAATATTATAATTTCACCACGAACTTTATTGACTTTTAATTAAATTATATATTTAAATATATATAGAAAATAAATAATTTTAATTTTATAATTAATTATTAATCTTTTTAATGATTAGCAATTTTTGACAAGGGTACACTTAAATAAATTTGCCAGCCTAATAATACACATCTTTTTTACGGCTTGTATGCTATAGTTGTTGTTAGGTACATGTTATATGTAATAAGACCAAGTTACATTTGAAAGATCATTAATTTATAATTTCACCGCTATAGTAGATGAATACTAGTATGCTAAAACACGAAACAGCCGGGGCAGACCACTTATAAATTAAGGGGAAAATGATACTACTAATTCAAACGATTTCTTGGCTTTTAATATTCCCAATTATCAATAGTCCCAACTGTATGGACCTTACTCCAAAATAGTCCAGACCTATTATAACCTGCTATAGCAAGGTACTTTTCAAATGGAAACTAGGCGTAGTATAAAGATATTCTCAACCTTGTTCACTCATGCTTATCAACCCCAACTATCAACTTTCAATTTAAAATAAAATAAAATAGCAAATTTAATCACTTTCCTTTTTGGGATGTATTTAAAAGTTGGGGTTTTTACTTGAATATTACTAATTTTAGTCCAATTATAAAAAAAGTGACCACAATTAAAAAGGGGCAAAAAAGTGATCAAGAAGGTCATATGTGTGGAATTAGAAAACATGATGTCACTGCAAAAATTTTATGTCACTGTGTTCGTGTCACTGCCGCCGCCACCACCGTGTCACTGTCACTGCCGCACTGCCGCACCGCCGCCAACCACAATGACACCACCACAGTGACACTGCCTCTCACCATTCCCGGCCAGTGAATGTCATCGCCACTGCCTCCGTTCACCCGCCCCAGCCCTCACCGCCGCCCCTATGACCTACAACTGCCCCTGAACCCGCCCCTAGCCCTATGCATCAGCTCCCCAGCCCCCCCATCCCTCCCCTGCTCCACTGCCCTCCCCTCTGTTCTCCCCCAGGCCTCTCCCCAGTTCGCCCCACCAGACTCACCCCAACCCAGGCCCCATAGTACCCTCCACAACCCCACAGCACCCTCCAGCACCCTCCACAGTTCTGTGCACAGGACAAGAGCAGGCAGCTTCAAGCTTTCTGTCTTCATTTGAGGGTCCTGCTCGGAATACGACCACCGCACCTCCGCCAGCAGCGCCGGCCCCCAAATCGAAGTTATCATCCATCAGGGATGACAGATCTGGAACCGAAGGCCACAAATCGGAGTCGTCACCCATTGAGGAAGGCGGATTCGGAACTGGCGGCCTCAAATCCAATTCGTTGTCCATGGAAAGGGCGGCCAGCGAGGAAAACAGAGAAGCTAGGTGGTGGTGCCGCCGTCGACGAAGCTGAGGGTGGAGGTTTAAGATCCTACCATCAGCGTCTCGACGAAGGTAGATTGCGATGGAAATAGAGGCTCGGTGAGGTCGATTGCGATGAAGGCTGAGGAGTTAGGGCGGAAGAGAGAAGATGAAGCGGAAGGCAGGGCTGCGTTTGTGGAAGAGGGAAGATGAAGCGTAAGAGACGAGATAAACTGCAGCGGGTCACTTTTACGTCTTTTTTAATTTTGGTCATATTTTTGCCCTGAGAAGTAATATTGGTGTCATTCTTTCTTAAAAGTTTGCTACACTTTCTCATCTTGGTAAGTTTACCTTTAAAAATACTCACTTACCCTTTATTTTTTCTATTTTTTATCTTCTCTTTCATACTTTTACAATCTCTCCTACCTTTTCTATGCTATTCATTACCCATACTACTTTTCTCCTGAAATGCTGTGCCAAGTCATATGTAGCAATCATTAAAATATAGGAGTATATAATTCCAAATTGGTTTTTTATAAGTCGTAAACTTTAAATTAATCTAACTATGTACCATAGATTTAAAAAAAATTAAAAAATGTTCTGTTTTTATTTCTTATTGTATTTTCAGTAAATTTTCTTATTTTTAATTTTTCCTAAATGTGCCATTTTTTTCTGTTGTCATATGGAGCCGAGAAAGTCATTTTGCATGCAAAGTGATTGGGTCCTTGCACTAATCATTTCGAAAGCAAAATTTAAATGTATAGCACCAAACGTCCCCAATAATTCGACATGTAGTTGTAAAGTACCAACTGTCCCCAATAATTCGACATGTAGTTGTATTCAGCAATATGTGTGTGCAGGCAGGCACATTGGTTGTTTATAGGGTTCGAGTCTAGTATAAGTTTTGGCTAAATCTCAGCTTGCTGAAGATCTTTTGGGGTCAGTAAGAGCAGCCATTTTTATTTATGTGTATGCACAATTGTTTTTTCCAGGTACGCACAATCGTGAAGCCAGGCTGCACCCAGGATGTGCTGAAGGCAGCTTTGAGTGCCATGGCTTCTGTAACAAATATTCTCTCAGTAATGTCAAATGGCGGGAACACAAATTTCTAAAGAAAGAGCAGGGCAGAGTTGGTCTATCTTCAAGAAATTGTGGCACACCACTTTAGGCTATAGGTGGTGGAAAGCAATTAGACTTTGGTGTTTGAGTATGTCCTCAGTCCAAGACTTTTAGGCTCCGTCTTTTGAACCCTGAAATTTTGAGTTGTGAAGAAAATGGGTGGATTAAATCTGCATTGTGAAGAATAATCCCTGTTTTTTATAATAATCTATTAGTAATAAGATTTAACATTGGAAATAATGGAGTTGCTCCTGTTGTCTGTATAGCTATTGTGCCTGCCTGCTCCAAATTCGTATAGCCACATCTCGGCCCATTAGTTGATCTCAGCCATATGAGCTTTAGGCTGCTTCAAAAGAAGGGTTGAGCAGCGGGCAGCAAGAAAACGAGGGTGAAAGTTTAGTTGCATTTTGATCCATGCGATTGGGTGACATTTGTTTTTACACAAAAATATGAAGAAAATAGATGAATTGTTTGGAAAGGGAACAGACACCCACACACAAAAGCACGCACTGCCTTACATGTATAGGAAGCGATTAGAAAGGATTCCCAATAGAAATGAAAATAAGTTCTAAACCTTGATAGCAATGACCTTGTTGATGAAAATGAATATATAATTTTCTTGCAATTTGATATGAATAAGGAAGACATTAAATCTAAGTGAGAGCATTTGAAATAATAAGAGTCATTTGATGATTTTGTTTTTCAACTTATCCGCTTATCAACCAACTTTGTGACCAAACGTGTAATTTTTTATTTCGTTTACTGAATTGTTTGCTAATAAAAAAAATAAGATAAAAGTCACATTTCAGATTGAATTTACTGTGTATATTTCCATATAATTTTTTATTTATTTTATTAATAACATATATTTTAAATATAATATTTTCATAAATTAATATAATCAGTCAATTCAGTCACTTTAGTCAGAATTTAATAAAGTTCAATAGAATTAAAGAAAGAGCAGGGCAGAGTTGGTCTATCTTCAAGAAATTGTGGCACACCACAATTATCGAGCATTCACTTTCGGTAGCCTATAGGTGGTGGAAAGCAATTAGACTTTGGTGTTTGAGTATGGATGTTTTCTTTTGAATTGTTTTCAGTCCCAGATCAGACTTGACTTCCGTAGTTATAAAATACATAGAGACCAGATGTTTACCAGACTAATTCAGACCAGATTAGACCAGACCAGCAAATTTCAATTCAAAAGAAAACATCCTATGTCCTCAGTCCAAGACTTTTAGGCTCCATCTTTTGAGCCTTGAAATTTTGAGTTGTGAAGAAAATGGGTGGATTAAATCTGTGTTGGTGATAGGGGTGGAATGGGCCGGTTCGGCTTGACCGAGGACCTGGCCCGACTTGGTGGGCCGGGATCGGGACTGGGGCCCGAACCGGGATTTCTAACGGCGGGCTACGAGCTTTAAAAATGAACTGGCCCGATTCGGGCCTTTTAATTTTTCGGGTTGGGCTGGCTTCTAGGTGGATGGGGCTGGGTGGTTTAGGGGTGGGTGTTGGAATTAATTCGAAAAGACAAAATAAAAAAAATAAAAAAAAAATAATGCCCGACCCTACCACTTGGTTCCGGCTTGAATATTGTGGACTCATTCATCGAATTCAACTTCCTCTTCAGCATCAAGAGATTGTTCTGTTTGAGGTGGGGGAGTGGTAGTTTAGACGGCTTTGCCTTTGAGGTTTTTATTCTTCAGAATAAGCTGTTGTTGTAAATAAACCAATATTCAGACACTGAGCAATGTCCGAACTTCATATCCATTCTAGCACATAGGGCTCTTTCTCCCTATAGAGATCTAAGTATGTGGCTAATGTCTCAATCGGACTTAGCGTCCAGTTGCGGCATGCAAATACTCAGGTGAGCTGGGTATCTAACACTATGAGAGGGTCCAGAATTACCTCTTCGTGTGAACTGAGTGTTCTTCTTCTGGTGTTCCAAGGTTTGAACTTGGAGTCCTCCCCCTCCTCCTTAGGCGTGGACCCGGTTCGGGCCGCCCGGCCCGGGACCGGCCCGGCCCGTCACTGTGCGGGCCCGGAACCGGCCCGGTTCTCGGGTCCGGGTCCGGTTCGGGCATAGACCCGGTCGGGTTAGCGGGACCGGGCTCGGGTCCTGGTTTTGGAGGCCCGGCCCGGCCGGGTCGGGCCCGGGCCCGGGCCTAACGGTCCAATATTTAAAAAAAATTTTTTTTTTTTTGGATTCTTTTGGCTCAACGGCCACCCCAAACGGCTATATAGCCGTTGGGTGGTACCAGGGGGGGGGTCAGGGGGGTTTGGGTGGGGGGTGGGGTGGGGGTGGGGGTGGGGGGGTGGGGGTTAAAAAAAAAAACCTATAAATACTCCTAATTTTAAACATTTTTTCACACCTCTTCTCCAACTCTTCTAAATCCTACTCTCTACTCATCTCCATTCTCCAATTCTCCATATTCATCTTCTCTAATTCTCTTATTCTCCTTTATATTTTATTTTACTATTTAATACTTATACAATTATTATATCTACTTATATATTAATTATCTACTTATATATATTATTATCTACATATACTATATTGCTTATATTTCTTATCTACTTAATTTCTACTTATATCTCTTAATACATACATACATACATACTATATCTACTTATATACATACATACATAATAATATCTACTTCTCTACTTATATTTTATATATACTTATTTTCCAATCTCCAATTCTCCATTATACTCTAATATTTAATTCTTATACAATTATTATATCCACTTAATACATACATTCTACATCTACTTAATATATATTTTATATATTAAAGTATAAAATATAAGTGTATTACTCATCGTATAGTATAGTATACTTATATATTATATAATATAAACATTATATTATATATTACTTACTATAACTAGTATTATACTAGTTAATTAGTTAATTAGCATTCTTGTTACATTTTTCATTATACTAGTTAATTAGTTCATTATCATTATTGTAACATTTTTCATTATACTAGTTAATTACTTAATTAGCATTCTTGTTACATTTTTCATTATACTAGTTAATTAGTTCAATACCATTCTTGTTACATTTTTCATTATACTAGTTCATTAGTTCAATACTTCAATACCATTCTTGTTACATTTTTCATTATACTAATTAAAATACTTCACATTTTATTTAACTAGTTGTTAGTTTGTTACATTTGTCACTATACTAGTTAACTACTTAATTAGCATTGTTGTTACATTTTTACTTGTACTAGTTATTTACTTCAAAAGTTGCTATAATTTTAATTGTAGAGACACACATTAATTCTACTTTGCAAAAAATTAGTTTGAAGTATTAATTAAAATAGTTTTAATTAGTTGCATTAGTTTTGTATCCATTATTATATTTGTTGTGAATTAATATTTGTTACATTTTTTAGATGGAAGGTGGTAGATATTCGGTTGATTTGGGTAACCTCCAACGCAATCGAAGAAACGAGATTGGGAGGAAGAAATCCCGCAAAGGTAAAGAACTTGCCGGGTCTTCATCTCAAAGTCGAGATGATTTTGAAACGGGTTACCAAAGGCGAGATGGAGATGCGATGTCCGAAGAACAACTCCAACAAGAATTGGCCCGACATAATAACCGCTTTCTACAACAACAACAAATGCCGACGACCATTGACGAAGAGGAGCTTGAGGATGAAGATGCGGAGGAATTGGAACCGGAGACGGCCGAGGAGGAGGGTGCCGGCAGCCACGACGCCGACGCGCCTGCCTCATCCCAAACTGCCACCGGTAATAAAAAAAGTAAGTCTGAACTAATGAAAAATAATTTTGATAAATGGAAGGACCCACAAACCGGCTATTGGCACGCAACTTGCAAGTGGTGCAACAACAATTATAGTTTGGGAACCTCCGGCGGATACGGATCCGCCGCAAGGCATCTTAAGGCAAAGCACCCCGTGGAGTATGCAAAATTAGGCGGCGGAACGGGGAAGCAAACTCAAATATCGAGGTTTGCGAATTCTCAACCTTTTGGTAATTTCTCCTACAATGATGCACAAAATTTGACTGGTATGGCTAACTTAATTTGTGAAGAAAATTTGCCTTATTTGTTTTCGGAAAGTCTTGCTTTAAGAGATTATGCACAAGGTAGTTTAAATCCTCAATTTAGAAATTATAGTCGCAAAACTGTTAAGAAAGAAATAATAAGGCTTTATAATGCGGAAAAGGAAAGGTTACAAAATTTTTTTGCAAACTTTGATGGGCGTGTTACTATTTGTTCTGACATATGGGAGGATGATTTTCATCATTTATATTATTTGGGTCTGACTGCACATTATATTGATGAGGATTGGAATATGCATAAACGTGTTCTTGCTTTTCGTGAATTTAATGATCGTCACACCGCTGAACATATTTATATTTTGATTGAGCGTATTTTAATTGAGTATAATTTGATTGATAAGGTGTTTGCTATTGGTTTCGATAATGCTACTAATAATACTGCTGCTATACCTAGATTGCGTGAGTTGTGTGGTGCCAATTCTTTGATGGGTAGATTTTTTCATCAACGGTGTGCATGTCATGTTATAAATTTATGTGTGCAAGACGGTTTAAAAGCGTTAGGAGATTCCATGGAGGTAATAAAGGGGGGGGGGGGGGTTAGACGTATTTGGGGTAATGGTCAACTTAGATTAAAATGGCAAAGTTATTTGACTGAAAGAGGTGTGAGATATGTCGCTTTTCCTAAAGATTTGAGTATTCGTTGGAATAGTACTTATAAATTACTTAAAGTTGTTCTTAGATATAAAGAACATTTTCCTGCTTTTTTAAAAGAACATGATAACTATATTATAAACGCGGCTGAGATCGACACTTGCGAAAAAATTTGTAATGTTTTGATATATTTTTTTAATGCTACTGAAACTTTTAGTCATGTTTATAAACCTACCGCAAACCAATTTATTCCACAAGCTGTTAATCTCGCCGATGCTTTTAAAGAATTTCAAAATGTCGTTTTCGTTCATTATTTTTGTGATCATATGAAGGAAAAGTTTTTAAAATATTATGCGCATATTCCCCATATTTATGGTATTGCATTTATTCTCGATCCTCGTTATAGACTTGCTAATTTGGAAGATTGTTTCAACTTCTATTATCTTGCGTTTTTCGGTGAATTTCCAATGTATGAGGATAACCCCATAGATCCGAAAACGGAATACAACGAGGTTAGTACTTTATTTTATGCCTTATTTAATGAGTTTCGTGCACAATATAGCAACGCTCCCCCTCCCCCGTCACGAATATCTTCATCTAAAGGAAAATCGATTTTTAAATCTGCATTTGGCAATCTTATGAAAAAAACTAAAACAACTCACGTCACTGAACAAAGCGCATTGAATGAGATTACTTTGTATTTAACATATGAAGTTGATTTTGAAGAAAATGATGACTTTGACGTTCTAGACTGGTGGAAGTCAAAAGAAAGAACGTTCCCGATTTTAGCACGGATGGCTAAGCAAGTACTATCAATGCCGGTTTCAACAGTTGCGGTGGAACAAGAATTTAGTTCGGCCGGCAACGTCCTAACGGCATCTAGATCGAGATTGAGCGCGGAGTCTCTTGAGACGCTTATATGCTACCACGATTGGTTGAAGGCCGCACGTAGAACTCAAGAATTGAGCATCACCCC